TATCGGGGCAATGATTGAGAGTACAGCAGGAGAGAGTTACGTTATGTAGGAGCCATTGTTTCCCAGAGGGGTGGCAAACCACTGATGGTGATGTGAAACGTTATTTCAGGGGTGTGTGTATTAGAAAAAATGTAATTTGCATATCATATACATGATTTCGTGGATATTGATATTTCTGAGGATGAGACCAAGTAGATATTTTGGTCTTAAAAACTAAGTTGTTTTAAAGGAAAGTTATGAGTATAATAATTTGAGCATGTGCACAGTCATTCCAGTGATACTCAAATAATTGAAGTTTGGGAAACACTGCTACAAGAAATAACTCCCCAACATAAAGGGAAGTTATGAAATCTTACTCTTAACTTATTTTTCTACTTTGGGGTCAAAATAAAATGTCATTTTTAAGCTTTGAGTTCTGTGGACACTGTAGGGTAACCTGGGAGTCAAGAGAACAACCTAATACTGGTTATCATAAGGGGACCCTCGATTTCTGTATGACCACTCTACTGAATATTACACATGGCTTCTTTTTGCACAGGTTCAGGCCCCTCCGGTCATTCCTGCAACTCCCTCACCTACAGCTATAACTGAGGTGGCTTCTGGAGAGACTACAGATATAGTCCAAGCTGCTGCAGAACAGAGCTTCGCTGAACTGGGGCTGGGGTCATACACCCCAGTGGGACTGATCCAGAACCTACTGGAATTTATGCATGTTAACCTAGGCCTGCCTTGGTGGGGGGCCATTGCTGCATGTAAGGGGAATACATCCTGGACGGAGGTGGAAAAAATGGGGAGTTAGGGATGGAACTTTAAAGCTAGCAGCTGTTGGGCCGGCTGCGTGGCTCAGTTGGTTAAGAGCTCGCTCAAGAGTGCGAGCTCTGAGCAACAGGGTTGCCGGTTCAATTCCTGGCCCAAGCTGAGCTGCCAACAGGTGGCAGGATGGCTCAGCTTAAAAAAAAAAACAGCTGTTCTGTGAGTGGGACAAGGAAATAGTTATTGAAGTTTAGGGGTCAGAAAAGCAGATGATTCTAATGAGGGGTAGAGGCTCATGATACTTAGATGCACTCTACCTATATTTCCTAAAGGGCATTATAAAACCACTAGAATATCTACGATTTAAGACATGTACATGTTTGAATGTGAGCAGGGAGTTAGAGTAAGGGGACCTTGTTAATAGTGATGAAGCCGCTCTGGTTTGGGAAAGTAGAAGTTCAGGTCAGGCACTTAAACCCCCAAATCAGGACGATACAGTGCTCCTCTTATAGGCAAAAACTGTGCTTCACATTCCGTGTCTTCCTACACCTTGCTCCAGCCATCATCCTTTATCTCCCTGTGTCTTCAACTTCTCCCTGTATATTGTCCTCCTCTGAACATATAAACATGCTTAAGCATACCATGTACAATTTTGGAGGAAAATCTTTTCCCTTCATCCTTAGTTCACTTTTAACTACTATCCTATCTTTCTCCTTCCTTTCATAACTTATCTAAAAGAGTATTCTGTATCCATTGGACTTCTTTCTTTCCAGTCTTTGACCCTCAGCAATCTGACTTTTACCACTTCATTCTAAATGCCAGTTACATCATTGCTAAATCCACTTTTCATTTCATTCTTGACCTTTCTGTGTTATGAAATATATCCTTTGGCTTTTGTGACAGTCTTTTCTGATTTTCTTCCTGTCTTTCTGACCACACCTTCCCATCTCCCTTGCCCAATACACTACCTGCCCCTTCAGTGTTGGTAGCCTGGGTTCAATCCTTCGTTCCCCTCTTTCCACTACACATTATCCATCATAATGTTGAGAAAGCCTAAACCTATATCTCTCCCCCCACCTCCCATCTCTTTTTAGCCCAGACCCACTTGCTTATCTGTAGGTACCATAAACTAAATAAATATTTGTTGGAACAATCAGTAAATATGAAATGTAAAAACTAGGAAGGAGCTAAAGCAGTAGGCCACCAGATTACCTCCTGCTCCAGGGATTTCTAGGACAGCAGCTTTCACCCTTCATTCCTAGGAACCCCAGAGTTTGTAAAGGCACCTCTGAGCAAAGCAAAGGCTAGAGCTTAAAGAATCCTGTAGCCAGATTCCCGCCTCACCTACGGCAGCTTCATTTTATCTGTTACGTATATTGGGACCACACTTAGAGTTGGAGGGTGGGATGTTCCATTGATAATAGAAAAGTTTGGGAACCATTTTTCTTTTGGGTCTTCAGGAAAGTTATGACGTATTTTTCTCTGTTTTTCAATGCAAAAATGCGTCATGACTCTCCCGACGACCCAATAAAAAAGTGGCTTCTGTCACCTTTTGTTCAAGGAAGCAAGCAGGATCCCTGGTCATTTGCTTAGAGAAGTTAATGCTAGATTTTTGTGATGTTAAAGCAAAGACTGAGCCTTGAAGGAACTAAGTCATACCCCTGCCCTTTGTTTTGTGCCCCAGGGGCATGAGTCACAGTGTGGAAAAGACTAGAATATGAGAGACCCTTTCAGTGAGGACCTAAAGATCTTCAACCTTCTAGCTACAGAACTGTTTAATTTTACTCCAATCCTAATGTGTGTTTTCCAGGTACAGTTCTTGCCCGCTGCCTGGTGTTTCCTCTCATTGTAAAGGGCCAGCGAGAGGCAGCCAAGATCCACAACCACATGCCAGAGATCCAGAAGTTTTCCACTCGAATCAGAGAAGCCAAGTTGGCAGGAGATCAAGTTGAGTGTGAGTCAATTGCAGAATAAACGTGGGAGAGGACCACATTTGTACTTTTCCTAACATTCTGCTAAGGGAAAGGAACAACCTAAGTCAGGAGTTGCTACAGTTGGACAAGTCCTAAAGATTACTTGCTTCTTGGGCCTAATGTTTTCAATGACTGGCCAAGGTCAGTTAGAAATGTCACGGGCCAGGTGATAAAGATGGTCACTTCCACTGTCATAACTATCTGCCCAACCATTAACTTCGCCTCTCTTCAGTTTACAGGGCCTCCTCGGAGATGACATTTTATCAGAAAAAGCATGATATTAAACTCTTTAGACCTCTCATTCTACCTCTGACGCAGGTAAGCAAAAACATTTCCCTTATTTTATCCTGAACCCATCAAATTATCTCTTCTGTTTCCCATGCTCTAGACCCCCGAAAAGCAGGTGGTGGTGGTGATATTATACCTGGTTTTCAGTAGTGGAATAATGACAATGGCCCCTGTGCTAACGGGTCCTGACACTGTTTATCCTGTATAATAGGCCCCAATCTTCATCTCCTTCTTCATTGCCTTGAGAGAAATGGCCAGCCTTCCTGTGCCCAGTCTACATACAGGCGGTGTCTGGTGGTTCCAAGACCTCACACTATCTGATCCCACCTACATATTACCACTGGTGGTCACTGCTACAATGTGGGGTGTCCTTGAGGTAAGCCCATGTTGGCCTAATGCCAGGCCTGCAAAGTGAACTGGGAGTAGGGGTAAAGTAATTGTGCAGAATGGTCATTCTCACTCCCTGGAGAAATAGAGCTCATGGGTAAGAAATTTGAACCCCAGTTGCTGAAACTTATGTGCATTTGCTATTCTTCCTCTGTTTTTGGTTTTTTCCCCCTTGGCAGCTAGGTGCTGAGACTGGTGTACAAAGTGCTGACCTTCAGTGGATGAGAAATGTCATGAGATTGATGCCCCTGGCAGTCTTGCCCATAACTATCCATTTCCCCTCGGTAGGTAGTGGCTTAGGGGCTGGCTCTAAGTCCTTCCACCTAGCCTAGCCACCTCCCAGCAAGCTGACCTGCGATGCAGTTTCTTAGTGCCTTCTCTTCCCCCTCGTCCAGGCAGTGTTCATGTATTGGCTGTCCTCGAACCTGTTTTCCCTGAGCCAGGTTGCCTGCCTACGGATTTCTGCTGTACGCACTATACTTAAAATCCCCCCACGTGTTGTGCATGACTCCAGCAAATTACCTCCACGGGAAGGCTTCTTAAAGAGCTTCAAAAAAGGTAAGGGGCTAGGGCCAGCCGAGTGGCTCAGATGGTTAAGAGCTCACTCAAGAGTGTGAGCTCTGAGCAACAGGGTCTCCAGTTTGATTCCCAGCCAGAGCTGGGCTGCCGCTGAGCTGCCAACAGGTGGCAGGATG